AATAAAAATGTTACAGTAAGATAAAAAATCTATGGAAAGTTAAAAGTTTTGATTAAGAAAACTAAAAGTTGGATTAAAAATAAGAGAGTAGACGAGCACGGACATTAAACAAATTTGAAAAACATTTAAACGGATATTTAGAAGTTTATGACCTAGTTCAGAGCTAAGTCTTCAAAAGATAAGATTCAACAGTTAAATTCAATATTTAGCTCTAAGTTGGTTAATTAATTCTATAATCTTGACGGTTCAAAAGTCGGTGGGCGATATTTTATTTTGGTTGTAGAATATTAAGTTTGGTTTTTGCGATTAGTGGGCGGGTTAGAGTCCTCACTAAGGCGGAGCAGAACCTGGGGGCGTAGCAAGCTTGTTGACATAGCCTAGCAGGGAGTATTTTGTATTCAATGCTTACATCGACATCACAATTTACAAGACACGTAAATAAGAACATTGATGTTTAAACTTCACAACCTGTCAATCCAGTAGAATCAGTAGTAGCTCAACGAATAGAAGATATAGAACCAGGAGTAGCTCTGCTAATAGAAGATGTAGAATCAGAATAGGTCTGCTAATAGAAGCAGTAGAACCAGGAGTAGCTCTACTAATAGAATCAGCAGAACCAGGCGTAGCTCTACTAATAGAAGATGTAGAATCAGGAGTAGCTTTACTAATAGAAGCTGTAGAACCAGGAGTAGCTCTACTAATAGAAGAAGTAGAACTAGGAGTAGCTCTACTAATAGAAGCAGTAGAACCAGGAGTAGCTCTACTAATAGAATCAGCAGAACTAGGAGTAGCTCTACTAATAGAAGTAGCTCTACTAATAGAAGCAGTAGAACCAGTAGTAGCTCTGCTTATAGAAGCAGTAGAACCAGAAGTAGCTATACTAATAGAAGCAGTAGAACTAGAATAGCTCTACTAGTAGAAGCGCGCTGTAGAACCAGAATAGGTCTACTAATAGAAGCAGTAGAACTAGAATAGCTCTACTAATAGAAGCAGTAGAACCAGAATAGCTCTACTAATAGAAGCTGTAGAACCAGAAGAGTTCTACTAATATAGCACTATAATTTATTTCCTCACATACCAGCCTATATCTATTTTCTACATAAATTCATCTGGCACATTTCTACGTATTTATCTTTTCTCTGTTTACGCGTATAACCTTCTTCTCTGTGTCTACGTATAACCATCTAACCCTTTTCTAAGTAAACCCCTCTCCTGCTGCATGATACCCTTGAGTATAATTCAAATATCAGTATGCAAACCTAACCTTGGATTATTTAGACATATAAACTATTGATAAACATTGAATTCATGTCTGCAGGGAAACCAGAAACCGAACTAATCATTTTGTTTTATTGTAGTTCAGACACGCAAACTAGTAAAGAGGAACTAAACCTTGAAGGTCTGTGAGCGAGCAGGAGTAAATATTGTAGATATACATAAACCAACCCTGTCATCAACCAACCCTATGTACATAAACAATACATAAACCAAACCTGTCATCAACCAACCCTATGTACATAAACAATACATAAACCAACCCTGTCATCAACCAACCCTGTGTACATAAACAATACATAAACAAACCCTGTCATCAACAAAAATGAATTGTATATCTATGGATGTAGAATGTAGATACATTTACATAAACCTACCCTGTCATCAACCAACCCTATGTACATAAACAATACATAAACCAACCCTGTCATCAACAAAAATGAATTCTATATCTATGGATGTAGAATGTAGATATATTTACGTAAACTACTCCGTCATCAACCATCCCTATCGTCAACCAAAATGATTTGTGTGTGAATATAAAATACATGCATGTATATATGTGTATATATGAATAACCCTCTCCTGTCATCCACACCTCTTTTGGGTCTACCCCCCACCCCCACCCCACTGATCCCGTCTCTCAATATCCTCTCTTCTCTAAACCTACTCCAAAAAATTCTTGAGCCAAACTTTTAATTGGTTGTGGAGATATTTAGATACTCAAGGAGTAGGAAAAAGATTCCGACACACCCACCTCTCAACAAACCTCATACTTTACAATTATTCATTTAATATCTTATCTGTCATTTATAATCCTTTCCTTCTCTTGAAAATCTTGATCTTCTCCTTTCATTATAATCTCAGACCTTTCCTTGTTATCCTAGTTCTTTCCTTATTATCTAAATTATAATCTCAGACCTTTCCTTGTTTTCTCAATATTTTCTTTGTTATCTTAGTCCTTTCCTTATTAACTAAGTTCTATCCTTGTTAGACCAGTTCAGTCCTTTCCTTGTTTTACCAGTCCTATCCTTGTTATACCAGTCCTATCCTTGTTATCCTAGTTCTTTCCTTATTAACTAAGTTCTATCCTTGTTAGACCAGTTCAGTCCTTTCCTTGTTATACCAGTCCTATCCTTGTTATCCTAGTTCTTTCCTTATTATCTAAGTTCTATTCTTGTTAGACCAGTTCAGTCCTTTCCTTGTCATCCCAGTCCTATCCTTGTTATCCTAGTTCTTTCCTCATTATCTAAATTCTATCCTTGTTAGACCAGTTCAGTCCTTTCCTTGTCATCCCAGACCTATCCTTGTTATCCTAGTCCTTTCCTTATTATCTAAATTCTATCCTTGTTAGACCAGTTCAGTCCTTTCCTTGTTATCCCAGTCCTATCCTTGTTATCCTAGTTCTTTCCTTATTATCTAAGTTCTATCCTTGTTAGACCAGTTCAGTCCTTTCCTTGTTATCCCAGTCCTATCCTTGTTATCCTAGTTCTTTCCTTATTATCTAAGTCTAATCCTTGTTAGACCAGTTCAGTCCTTTCCTTGTTAACCCAGTTCGTTCCTTGTTATCCCAGCTGTTTTCTTCTTATCCCAGTCCTTGTTTTTTTTTATCCCTTTCTTTGTCATTCCCTGCTATATTAGTCCGTTTATTTTATTTCCATGGACTTGCAGTTCCAGTTATTTTCTTCATTTCTATTTCCAATTAATTTCTTCAATTCCCGCTCCCTTTTCTTTATTTTCAGTCCCTTTCTTCTATCTCAGTCCTTTTCTTCTATTCCCAGTCCCTTTCTTCTATTCTTAGTCCTTTTTTTCTATTCCCAGTCCTTTTTTCAATTTCTGGTCCCTTTGCTTCACTCCCGGTCCTTTATTTTGCAGTCCTCTGCTACTCTGTAAAAGTCTAATTGTTAGTGTGTAGTTAATCCGCTTACTTGACTTCAAGTCCATTACACAACTTGTCAACTGCAAACTAACCCTTTCTTATCCCATCAAACTTATCATTCAAGCTTAACCAGCAATCTTTTCGCATTTAACATTTTTTATTCACGAGCAGTTAGGACGGTTTAGCAACTTGGCTCCGCAACTTATATTCATTAGTCAACATTATCTTTACCAGACAATATCTATTCCTTGTCGGACTTGCATAAAATTAATATCTGAGCTAGTTGGGTCCTGGTTGGGTCTAGTTACTAGGATTGTTATCTTTTACTGTCTCTCTTTTACTGATTAAAGTTGACTTTGTGACGGATTAACTGAGATACAAGGTTGAGAATCCTTATCTTAGGGTCCAACAGTCTAGGATTGATCTCTCTCCTTCATTGCAGGTCAAACTCCAAACTCTCTCTCTCTTTCTCTCTCTGCATGGAAATTACCGATGATAAATCTTCCGGGAACGAGATTTATAATCCGCGATTAGAGACTCAACACTATAATCAATAATACATCTGAATTTGCATGTATGTATGTATGTAGATATTAAACTGGATCACAGATCATCTATCTTACTCACCCAGCTCCCCAGCACACTATGTAGAATGTAAAATGTCGAGAAACCCTGAATAATAAATCTCTCCATGTCTCCATGTTGCGGTTTTTCTCTCAACTTGAAGTTGAGTTAAGAAACCGGTCTGCTGGAACTCAAGCCCAGATTTATCCGTTACAACTTCTATCCGTTAAACTGCTTTCCATTTTTAAAATTTATTTTGAAATTGATGGATTGAATATTCTGATCCAAAGATCCCAACTAAATATCTAATAACCAAAGTGTAAACTGTTTATTGTCAAGCTAGGAAGGATTAAAATGTATTTTAAAGGCTCTAAGCTAGAATCTACTCTCTCCAGATCTTTATCTTTATGTTTAGCATACATGGAGCAAAAACCCAAAACTTGGTAAAATCTTGGTGTTTCTGTTTAGTTTTCTCAACTTGTTCTCCGGTAAGAACTACAGTACGCTAAACCAAACAAAATTTGCCACAAATTCTAATTTTCTAATCCTAAATCCTTATATTTTTGCAAGCCGATATGGAAGACCTTTTTTAGTAATTTCAAACTGTGAATTCTGCTAAATCAAATGGTATTAGTTTGAAATATCAAAGATTTACAGATATTGTAAAATATCAATGCCAAAACAATTAATGGTTAAATGTAGAACTGTTGGGGTTTGCGTGGCAGTTGGTTGTTTTAATTTTGGATTTGTTTCATGTGTTAAAAAAGATCATATCATAGAGCTAGTTACAACCGGATTGACCGGTTTCTGGTCCAAGAATAACTTCAAATAATAAAAAGTTCCGATACAGAGCAAACTGCCGAAATGATTCCCAAAAATATTTTTTTTACTTAAATTGGTTTTAAAATGCGCCGAAACCGCTCATTAAAAAGATAGCTCCAGAAACGGTCAGTGAAAAAGGGCTCCACAAAACGGCTAGGAAAAGTACGCTCCAGAAACGAAAAGGAAAAAGAGCACAAGAAATGGTTAGCATAATATATTCTGTGTATGAACTTTGGAAATGGTTATTTAAAATTTGAAATAAGTTTAAAGAGAAGTGAACTTATCACAAAGTGATACTTTCTCCTTGTTTTGTTCTGGCTTGAATAAGCTGAATCAATTAGGTTTAGCAATACATTTTTAAATGATTAGACATGTAGAGACGGTTAGTTAGTGATCTGTACAGTATGCATAGTTAAGAGTGATGACATTTACATAGAGTTCATGCAATTTAATTTTCCAGATGAGGTGGTTCAGAAACAGCAGAGGAGCAGGAGGAGGAGGAGGAGGGGGTAGAGGAGGAGGTGGAGAACAATGATTCAGATACAACTTCAAGATCATGTTAAACTCCATAATAGTGAATAAGAATAATATGTGCTTTCTAATCACCAGAAAGGAATAAATAAACCCAGACAATTAGTTTAGTTCTGGATTAGACCCTGATCAAATTAGTATACTGTGACAGACCAGGATGTCCGTTACCTCAAGCTACAGCGGTAGTCCGTCCTCCTCCCCTCGGGTATCCGTAGGACTAGGCTCCACCAGTACCCGGGCACTTGCTGTAGTTACCAACAAGTGGTATCGGGAGCAGAGACGAGCTGAGTTAGATGTTACTAGATCTTTAACTCTTCTCAAGCAGAGAAAAATATCCTGTATACTCAAGGTAAATAAATATACATCTTACTCTAGGAATTATGATTTAGATTTTTATAAAGCATGCATCTTAATCAATCTCACGATCTAACAAACACACTCACACTCAACCCATAGCTCACTGTAGGTAACCTCACAGGTTACCATTAATATTCATTTAGATCAACACTTCTAGCTCCCTACTCCCTACTTCCTATTCCCAGTTCCCAGCTCCCAATCTTCTTAATCTAGATCCTAACTCCCTAATAACAACTTTAAACTCCAACCCCCTTTATTCCGTCCTACTGCAAGTTCCTCCCAAAGGAACTGAGTTCTTATCACAAACTTAAACTTTCTTATCCCTGGATCTTTGCAACTTGACGAAGTAAATCTTTGATATTTCAAACTTTGATCCAACAGAATTCATAGTTTGAAATATCAGAGGTATACAACATCAGGTTGCAAAAATATTTAGATTTAAAAACAAGAGTTTTCGACAAGAACTCTGTTCCTTTATGAAAATTTCTCTGGCCTGCTTTCGTTTATAATATTTTTTTTTGCATAAATATTGTTCAATCTGTTAACTAGGTTCTCCATTACAATTATTAGTAAAATCAAAGAAAAATGAAGCTTTGCCGTTTTTTTAGGAAAAATCCAGACAGTTTATTTTATCATGGGAAAATTTTCATAACATTTGCTAGATTTTTTTTTCGCGCATACATTATATGTGTTTGGTTCTGCAAGGAGTACACAATACACTGTGAATTATACTCACACAATACATTTTCCATGCAATAATATCTTGCATATTACCCTGGAGTCAAACAAAATTAGGCCAATCCTCATCCCTTCGTCGATCCGTCCGTCTTACTGGAGTTTTTGTGCTCCGTCAGATGGATTGAACATGATGGACGGGGTTTATACTGTCTAGGACGGGGAGAGAGTTTAGGGTGTCGTGATACTTCGTTCAAATAAGAACCCAGACAATAACAATCAAAATGTACAGTAGAAAGGGGAGGAAGGGTTGGACGTAGACGACGTTAAAAAACTAGCGCCAGTGAGGCAAATCAGTTTTTTGCAGCTCCAGGGAGGTGGGTTTGTTTTTGCAGCTCCAGGGAGGTGGGTTTGTTTTTGCAGCTCCAGGGAGGTGGGTTTGTTTTTGCAGCTCCAGGGAGGTGGGTTTGTTTTTGTAGCTCAAGGGAGGTGGGTTAGCTTTTTGGCAGCTCCAGGGAGGCGGGTTAGCATAATTTCATGTCCAGGGAGGCGGGTTAGCTTTATTACAGCTCCAAGGAGGTGGGTTAGTTTTTTTACAGCTCCAGGGAGGTGGGTTAGCTTTATTGCAGCTCCAGGGAGGCGGGTTAGCTTTTTTATAGCTCCAGGGAGGCGGGTAGCTTTATTACAGCTCCAGGGAGGCGGATCAGCTTTATTGCAATTTCAAGGAGGTGGGTTAGCTTTGTTGCAGCTCCAGGGAGTTGGATCAACTTTAATACAGCTCCAGTGCTGCTCTAAGTGGATTAAAACAAGTACAAAAAAGGATCAGAGGGATGTGGTTGAAGTTGGGAGGGATCAGTGAAATGAATTTTGCAAAGAAATCAAAAAAGAAGATTTGGATAGTAAATATACAAGGCTAAAATAAGAGGAAGATGAGTAGAACGAGAAAATTAATTGGAGGATATGAGAGTATTAAAGAGAAGATGAAGAGGAAGATGAATTGAACGAGAAAATTAATTGGAGGATATGAGAGTATTAAAGAGAAGATGAAGAGGAAGATGAATTGAACGAGAAAATTAATTGGAGCATATGAGAGTATTAAAGAGAAGATGAAGAGGAAGAAAGATGAATGAAAGAATCAACATATTGTATATTGTATAATGAGCTGGATGTGTGTTGNGGGGGGGGGTGAATGAATAAATGAATGAAAGAGAAAGGTTGTTTACTGAGCTAAAGGTTCGAATATATCACTAATTGCAAGGGTTTAGAAGTAAACACTTTCTTGTTTGCAAAAACTGCATGATCCCGTATATACCAGGCCGGCTCTATACATACATCTGGATTATCATCTTTTAATAGATAGATAGATTTTTTGATCAATATTTTAACAATATAAAAAACATTTACGCACTATTTTTACAGTTTGAATTAGCAAAACAAATCAGAAGTTTCAGTTTTATACTTTTCATTCTCCCTCTCTCTTTTCATTTATTCTGTTGGTTCTTTCATTCCTTTATTTATTTATTTTTTCAAATAATCTTTTGATCGTAGACCATTCATATTGTAAATATTTACATAGATATTTACAGGAATTACATAATGGTGTCAGAAAACATTAGGCCTCAGTGATGGTTTTGCATTTTAAAAAGATATCCCTATCTGGTCGGGGGGGGGGGGGGGTCAATTTAAACCCCCCCCTATCGTTTTTTTTTGCGATAACTCAAAAAGTATTTGAGCTAAGAAACTCAAATTTTCTGGCTTTTTTAACTAACGTTAAAAGCTGGACTTCTATAACTACTGCATGAGTCCACAGGCATACTGCCTAAATGTCTTATTTTACCAGACTAAATCTTTATTTAGACCTACTTCCAGTTATTGGATTTCATTATTTTATAGCTCTTTTGGAAAGCCTATAAAAAGCAAGCAGATTGCACAATTTTTGCAAAGAAATGTTGCACAGATTTAAGCACAGGCGCCTTTAATGAGAATTTGCACATTTTCAGTTTTTCTTGAATTAAAATTTAGGTTTTAAAATTTTTGAAAATGTTTTTGCACATTTAAATTCGCTGGGTAAGGGCTTTTCAAAAATGTATAATTTGTTGCAATTTACGCAATTTTTTTGCACAGTTTTTGCTTAAAAACCAGATTTGGCAATAAATATTTGGATTTTTTCAAATTTGCCTTTTTTTGCAGATTATTGAAGTAGAGCTTAAAGTGATTGTTTATGTNTAGTGCTGGAGCAAAGCTAGCTTACTGCTGGATTAGAGCTAGCTCAGTGCTAGATTAGAGCTAGCTCAGTGCTGGAATAGAGCTAGCTTAGTGCAGGATTAAAGCATATCTCAATGCTGGATTAGAGATAGCTCAAAGCTGGATTATAGCTAGCTCAATGCTGGATTATAGCTAGCTCAATGCTGGATTATAGCTAGCTCAATGCTGGATTAGAGCTAGCTCAATGCTGGATTAGAGCCAGCTCAATGCTGGATTATAACTAGCTCAATGCTGGATTGGAGCTAGCTCAATGCTGGATTAGATCTAGCTCAGTGCTGGATTAGAGCTTATAGCTCAGAGCCAAATTTAAGATCAGATCAGAAATAAATCATAGATGGATCCGAGCTAGAAAGAATTAAGAGCAAGATTGAAACTCAATCTTAGACAAGAAACAATATCGGCGATAGGTCGAAGCTATAAGTTTAGATAAGAGATAAATCAGATATATATCAGAGCTAGCTATATCAGAACTAAATCAGATATATATCAAAGCTAGCTATATCAGAGCTAAATCAGATATATATCAAAGCTAGCTATATCAGAGCTAAATCAGATATATATCAAAGCTAGCTATATCAGAGCTAAATCAGATATATATCAAAGCTAGCTATATCAGAGCTAAATCAGATATATATCAAAGCTAGCTATATCAGAGCTAAATCAGATATATATCAAAGCTAGCTATATCAGAGCTANTGGGGGGCGGTTTTAGGGTTGGTCAATCTCATTTATATTCTCTGTACTCCTTCACGTCCGAATAAATCTTGTGCACAGTTTCTGCAAGATCCAGAACAAGAGCCGCGAGCAGTGAAACCTGTTCTAGCTCCTTAAACCTGAACCTTCAAACTTTAAAGCAGAAAGGTTTAAACCGTTGATATCAACATTTTAGCCGAGGTTCTGCAGACTCAGAAGACTTTCATAGCAACAAAAAGTACATAAAACTGATATGGTTATGATATGTAGATTTAACGATTGCTTCGTAAAGGTTTGTTAAGCTCTCAAGGATTTATTAGAAAAGAAAATGATTTTCATTTCTGCAAGTTTATACATTGTGTATGGTTAATATAAGTTTAAATATGAATGTTTATACCGAAGGGTGTATTATGAAAAGCGAAGGGATGATAAGCATGTTTGGTTTGATATGCAGGATCAGGGTTAGCTCTAGCACCATGAGTAAGATTATGCTAAACTATTTGAATCTCGTTTCTATCTGATCAACGAAGGATATTTACCATCTTGGGTGGAGTTCCATCAAGATTGTTTGGATGAGATGAGAATGCTTTGAAAATTTATTTGATGCGGAGAGATAATCTAGAGGGAACAGAACTAGGACATAAATTCTTCAAATTAATTCGGGGAGCTAGCTAGTACAACACTAAGCTAAGAGATATTTTAGTAAACTTAGGATTAGAACCTAGTTTGCTTTCTGTAAAATACTGAGAGATACTTTGTCGAACTTAGGTTTCAAACTTGGCAAGAACTTTGTACAATACGTTGAGAGAAATATTTGTGGAAACTAAGGTGGAACTAAGCTTGTTTTTATCCTATCCTACAGATTTTCAAAGTTCATGATGGATCAAAATTATTGAATTTTGGTTTACAAGAACTCTATCCTTAGTCTCTAAGATTAATTAAATCCATGAATTCTTTTATACTTGAATTCTAGAGGTTTACAATGGGGGTAAATAATATTCGCTGGAAACATAAACCTTGTGGTAATTGCTTTGTGTACTAATAATGCCTACTGCTTTAATTGTTCTTGCTACCAGGATACACCCTATGACCCTCCCACTCCTTGAAAGAACCCCTGCCCATCTTCCCCTGCTCCTTCCTCCTCTCCTTAGTTGCCTATTGATTACTCATATTTGAGCGCATGCCGCAAGGCCTCATGGTTTTGGATTCGAGGAATCCTAAAAATTCATTAAAGATTCCTGTCAACCTTAATCCGTCATGTCGGGGAATAGACCTGAAACCTAAACCCTGAGCAATGGAAACCCCAACCCCTAGTCCTGGTTCAAGAGAACCAGTATCTTTATAAGTTGGCAGTTATCCTCAATTATCGTTTAAATGAACGGGTTTATCTCATTCTTGCCTCGTCGAGATTTTAGCGGATCTGTAACCAGTTACAACTTTCGAGATTCGACCAATCAGAGCTTAGAAATTCGACCAATCAGAGCTTAGAAATGTAAAGTGTAAACCTAAAAATAGCTAATTCAAGAAACAAGTAAGCCTTATGGTCATGTAGAATATTATTGGTCATCCCTATTTATATTGTATAATGTATATTGTATACCTGTGTTGTAGCATATTTGTGGAGATTTCAAAATTTCATGGTTGAAAATGCAAATTCTTGAATATTTGAGTTAGGTACACAGGCTTTTGTATAAACATGTTCAGTGTACATAGGCTTGCTAGAGATTTACATGTTTATACAATACATTGGAAAAAGACATGAACATATAAGGTATTTTACAGGCATTAAAACAAAATCATTATTCTGGGGGAAAAAGGACAAGACATTAAAATCAACGTTCTTATTATAATTTCTCATATTTTTAGAATCAAACATATATGTTTTTTTTGTGATAAATAGATATTACATAGACAAAGGGAAAAAATAAAGTTACTATTTGTACTTAAACCCAAACGTTTATAACTTTATTATGATCTAAACTGTTCCCGAACCTATTAAGTGAAAGCAGACTTGAAGATCTTATGCACTTAAACGAGATGAGTATACATGTCAGATTAGCTTTTAATTGAATCAGTCTCTGAAATAATTCTAGTACAACTTAAACCAGCGCTACTGCCATTTTCTGAAACATTCATAAACTAGGAATTAACCAAAGGTCCCATTTTTAAGATAATTATCTAATTACGAGTTATCACGACCTAGCTCTTCATTTCTTAATTTTAGACGTGGTTTTGTATTTTGAATTATGATCAGCAGACTTCTTTACTTTTAAATATCAGGACAGTTTTATTTTACTTTCCAAGGAGGGGGGCCCCCTAGGTGAAAAGGCTTGATGAGGATAGTTTGGTTTGGTTAGATAGATTTTATCCTTCTCTGGGACTAAGGGATAGGTTCGTGGTGTAACGGTTCCTAGAGAAGGGTTGAATACGTTGATTGAGATTAACATGCTGAGGTGTGAGGGTCGGGTAGGATGGATCCTGAATACAGAAAATATTTTAGTTCATTTGAGGGTTTAGATTTGTGCAGGGAGGGTAGGGATAAGCCAAGGATAGGAAGATACGCATGAAAAGTTGTGAGAGCTGAGGGGTCAATCAAAGAGTAGTAAAAATTATCAAAGAAGGAATGGAATATTAAGGGGAAGGTTAATCATAGGAAAAGGGTGAATAAATTTTATGAAAAGGAGAATGAATCGGGAGAAAGTGAGGATTTAATGAGAATCAAACATAGGAAAATGAGAGTCAATCAGAAGAGAAGGAGGATCAATCAGAAGAGAAGGAGGATCAATCTTGAGTAGTAAGGATTAATCGTCATGAGACTGAGATGATTAATCTTCAGATTGCAAGGATTAGCTATTAGAGAGTAAGGATCAACCTTTAAAAAGTAGTTTTAACCATGAGAAAGTAAGGATCAATCTTTAAAAAGTAGTTTCAATCGTGAGAAAGGAAGGATTAACTTTTAAAAAGTAGTTTCAACCATGAGAAAGTAAGGATCAACCGTTAAAAAGTAGTTTTAACCATGAGAAAGTAAGGATCAACCGTTAAAAAGTAGTTTCAATCGTGAGAAAGGAAGGATCAACCTTTAAAAAGTAGTTTCAATCATGAGAAAGTAAGGATCAATCTTGAGAAAGTGAGGACTAATCCTGACCAAGTGAGGATAGATCAGGGGAAAGTGAGGATCTAGGAGGAAAGTGAGGATCTAGGAGGAAAGTGGAAAGAAGATTCTGTCTTGAGAAAGTAAAAGAAAGAATTAATCTTGAAAAATACTGCAATAAACTGCAATCTGATTAAACAGTTAGTGTAGAACAATTAAAAAACAATTAAAAAAACGCGAAAATAAGTATATTTAGCAGGATTATAGGAAGAAAAATAAAAATACAATGAGATCAAAAAACAGTCGAAAAGGAAGACGACTTTATAACAATAATCAATTGTATTTAATGTTACAAAGCAGCGAATTTTACAGCAACTTATTAAATTAAGTTTGTCTGTTTACACTGCACAATTGCTGTGTCTCATGCTCTTTGGACTTTTTAAAGTCATAACTTGAGCCTCAAAGTCATCTTCTTATTCCATAGTTTTCTGGTTCTCACTGTACTCTAGAGATGGAGTTTATAAAAATAAATGTGAAGTGTTTAGCTGTGCACGTACTTCCAATTTTTTCTTCTCTGGGGCAGAATTTTATGGATTTCTCATTATTGAGCAAACTTGAAACTGGTTGAATTTTTGCCATGTTTCTGTAGAAATAATGTTTTGTTTAGTTTAGTTTACAAGTATTTGGTTTAGGTTGGATTAGGAACGGAAGTGAACCATGGTTGGTTGGAACCACAACAGCTATAATAAAGTGTATCGTGGGATCCATGAATATTTTGTAAATCATCAATAATAAACAATAAACATCTAGATTTATTTAACCGTTAGGTTCTTTCATCTAACACCGGATACGTTTACCAATAGGCATCTATTAACTAATCATCTTACGGACATAAATATTACGAATTTCGAAAACCGCATGATATAACCGAAACATCTGAAGGAAAAATATATGTATAATTTGAGCTTAATAGAGTAATTGACGGTTTCTTTGCAAATATTTTTATTCCAAACTAAAGTTAAACAAACCAAGAAATCTGATCAATATTCGGATCAAATTGAGATTTAGCCAATGTTTTTTACTCTTTTCTCATTCGGTGAGAAGGTGTGAAAAAAACTTTAGATATTCATAATAATATTTATCTCTATATTTAAGGTTGAGAGTATGCAGAGAGGGTTGGGACGGGAGGAGAGTAAGGACGGGGTAGAGAATATTGTCAAGGAACTCGAGGACGTGGAGAAGAAGATGCTACAGCTGGAGAAGGACAGGGAGGATAAGTGCAAGAAGATCATGGATCGGAGGGTTCAGCAGGTTAACACGCTCCAGGAGCTAGGTAAGATTTTTCCTTTCTTAGTTTATTCAAATTTTAGAATTTGTGAAAAGGAACTGATCACTCGACTCAAACTACATTTTTTTATTTCTATATCAATTACCTAACAGTGCTTTGATATGTTGAACTAATAGTTTAATATATAAAGATAAAAGGACTAGAAAGTTACAGTTTCTAGAGGAGTATTCATTTCTTTTGTTAAACCATTCAAAACCACCATTTCATGCCCTCATTGGTTTGGTACCAGACGTCTTTCGGTACAGGAATTGAGTCTTTGTCACAATCTCAAATTTCTAATCTCTTTATCTTTGCAACATGATGGTGAAAACTTTTGAATTTTTAAACATAGATTATTCGATCTAATAGAATTTATAGTTTGAAATAACTAAGGTCTACGACATTGGGTTGAAAGGATAAAGGGATTAAAAAACAGAGCTTGTGGCAAATACTCAATTCCTTTCGGTAAATGCAACTTGTGTCCATTGTAAATTGTATTGGATGAGTTTACTCCATGATAATGGATATATATATACCGGGAATATTTATTATTTCCTGTTCATTTAATAAATTTATATATCCCAGGAATATTTATTATTTCCTGTTCATGTAATAAATATATATATCCCAGGAATATTTATTATTCCCTGTTCATGTAATAAATATATATATCCCAGGAATATTTATTATTTCCTGTTCATTTAATAAATATATATATCCCAGGAATATTTATTATTTCCTGTTCATTTAATAAATATATATATTCCAGGAATATTTATTATTCCTGTTCATGTAATAAATATACATATCCTAGGAATATTTATTATTTCCTGTTCATGTAATAAATATATATATCCCAGGAAAATTTATTATTTCCTGTTTATTTAATAAATATATATATCCCAGGAATATTTATTATTTCCTGTTCATGTAATAAATATATATATCCTATTTATTATTTCCTGTTAATGTTATCAACAAGTAGGTTCAGCGCAAATGAACTATTAACACTTCATGTGAATCCACCCATTTCGAATAAAATAAGATTTATATTAGAATATGTTGGATAAATAGCTTTCATAATATTATAAATCTTATTTATGTGTAGCAACCCAATTCTGGATTAGTTGACTCTATGTTTAGTAGGGGTTCTTCATTTTCAAAATTACATTTTTCTGTCTCTTAAAGGGAGTTAAAGGGAATGTCAACTAAATTTTAAGTAACCCTCACTTTAAAAGATACATACTCTATTCACAACGGTTTTATTTTTACCTCTATCTGGAAAATATCGTCGTTTTTTTAAAAAAAAAAGTATAAAATTTGGTTAATTTTCTATTTTTTCTCTGCTGCAAAAGTCCGCTAGTAATTTTAAAAAGAACCAATTATTGAAAAAAAATCAATTTTCAGAGAGAAAAAAGAATATCTTCATAGTTCTGACAAAAATATTAAGAATATCGTTGTGAATCTAGCATGCAACTTTTAAGTTGGGGGTTTACTAATAATTAAGTATTCAGTCCCTTTGCATTCTCCCAAGTGCAAAGACAGTTTGTGTATGGGGGTTGATTTTGATTGCTGAAGATTGTGTTTAATGAGGAGAAAATAGAATTGAGCAAATTAAGCAGTTTTGACTAAAAGAGAGAGGTTGCAGTCTCAGCCTTACAGTTTGCTGAGGGTTCAAATATTTTTGATTGAGAGAACGGGTTAGAGTTTCGTCCAGTAAGCTTCGCATTAAAAATCTGCAAACATCAAGGGTTAGGTTTACTTTCTTCTATTCCTTAAAAGGAATTTAATTTTACTTAACAACTAATTGTCTCTGTTTCACATTATAAATTTTATAAACGTCCTATACAGGGTTACTCACAAAGACTGTAAAGACGACTTGAAACCCTGAACATATGACGATCTAAAGTTTAAATTTAGTCTTACAAGGCTTTTTTAATGATTTGGAAAATAAAGAAAGTAGTTTATAGTTGCAACGAATTATAAATATATAAGGAAACAGACAGTATAAATTCTTTTCAGTTTTCTGTAAAGTCTCTTCCTTTGTGGGTAAACCTGTATAAAAACATTATCATATTACATAGTGAAAAAAATCTAACTTTAAACTGATTTAAGAATTAAATCTGCCTCTCCTTCAATATAATTCTATATTGAAATTGATTATTAGCTCCAGATGGTTCGGTTCTACTTTAATATCTTTTCTTCTCTTCTCATGAAAATTGTTGAATCAGTCCCACACGTTCAATTCATCAAATCATTTTCTTCTGGTCTTGTTCGGTTCAGGTTTTGTTGGACGGAGTTCTGTTTGATCGTTTTATTGTTGGAAGGAGGCCTGTTTGGTCGTTGTATTGTTGGAAGGAGTTCTGTTCGATCGTTGTGTTGTTGGAAGGAGACCTGTTTGATCGTTGTGTTGTTGGACGGAGTCCTGTTTGGTCGTTGTGTTGTTGGCGAAGACTTTTTTGATTGTTGTGCTCTTGAAAAGACCTGTTTGGTCGTTGTGCTGTTAGATGGAGACCTGTTTGGTTGTTGTGCTCTGGAAAAGACCTGTTTGGTCGTTGTGATGATAGATGGAGACATGTTTGGTTGTTGTGGTCTTGAAAAGACCTATTTGGTTGGTGTGCTCTTGAAAAGACCTGTTTGGTCGTTTTGCTGTTAGATGGAGACCTGTTTGATTGTTGTGCTCTGGAAAAGACCTGTTTGGTCGTTGTGCTGATAGATGGAGACATGTTTGGTTGTTGTGGTCTTGAAAATACCTATTTGGTTGTTGTGCTCTTGAAAAGACCTGTTTGATTTTTGTGCTCTTGAAAAGACCTGTTTGGTCGTTGTGCTGTTAGATGTAGAACTGTTTGATTGTTGTGCTGTTAGATGGAGACCTGTTTGGTTGTTGTTCTCTTGAAAAGAACTGTTTGGTTGTGCTGTTAGATGGAGACCTGTTTGATTGTTGTGCTGTTAGATGGACACCTGTTTGGTTGTTGTGCTGTTAAACAGAGACCTGAGTTTAATTTTGTTCATGTCTAATATTCTTTGTTTCATCGTTGTTTCTCTAAACTTGTTTGGTTTAAGAACTAAAAAAAAGAACTTGTTTTGTTTGGAATGTAGTAGAATGTATATTAACTTGTTTCGTTATAAATATTCTTTCATAGTTCTAGTTGTATATCTTCCTGGTTTATGATTAAATTGACTTTGTTCTATTTAAATTTAAACATTTTTGAACCTTTGATGCAAAGTTTAAACTCAGTTTTTATCCGTTTATAAAGAGCAATGCATATATTTATGAATTGTCAACACAGGATTAAATTCTTTCATTTATTATCTTATTATCCAACTATTTATAAAACGCATTTACCCGGAAAATATTCTACGGAGAGGCAAGAAGGATGAATGTAAATAATTTAGAGGAATTCAGGAGAAGAAGGTTGGGTTTAGGAGAAAAGTCTAAAGGAGAAGAAGGTTGGGTTTAGGAGAGGGGCTTGTGGGGAAGAAGTTTGGGTATAGTAGAAGGTGTGAACAAGAAAAAGGTTGGGTTTAGAAGAGGGGTTGGAGGAGAAGAAGAGGGTTCAGGAGAGTGGTTGGAAGAGAAGAAGCTTGGGGTTTGGAGAAGGGGTGGTAGATAATAAGGTTGGATTGAGTAGAGGTGTTGGAGGAGAAGAAGAGGTTGGGCTCACAAAGGAGTTTAAGGAGAAGAAGATTAGGTTCAGGAGAAGGGGTGGTAGAGAATAAGGTTGGATTCAGGAGAGGGGTTGAAGGAGATGAAGAGGTTGGATTCAGGAGAGGAGTTGGGGGAGAAGAAGAGGTTGGGTTCAGGAGAGGGGTTGGATGAGGAGAAGAGGTTGGATTCAGAAGAGGGGTCGAAGGAGAAGAAGGCCAGGTTGATGAAAGAGGTTTGAATAGTGTGGATAAGTGTGGGAGGATAATCCTGACCGCGGAAATCAGGCAAATATAATTTAGTGCTGAGGGGTTCTCCTCAGAGTAAGGTATTCTCTTGTTTCAGGGTTTTCTAGGAGGGTTGGTATTTGGTGAATCTTAAATAATTTTTATTTAACCTTTGTGCACCCTTGTAAGCTTGAGCTGCTGGCCAGGTGATTAAAGGGCCGAGATTTAAGATTAATGTTAGGGTTTGGGTTCAATTCTTTTTATCTTAGAAATTCATCATTTTTCCCGGACGTGCTTTAGCCTTACATTTGAAAGTAGAAAATAAAGATGAAAAATGATACTTTCATGTTTTTAAAGTCCTCCCCTCCCCCTTCAATCTGTCCCGGATGTTTTGAAATAAATATTCTCTCAACTCTCGTGCATAAAATTGTATATAAATATATAGATTGAGTTTAAAATCTACGGTTAGTGTCTTCCTAAACCTTGATTAGATAAACTTTTAGCCTGGACAAAAATAATTTATGCTTTAGCCCTAAGTACGGTACAGTATATTGTACATAAACACAACTAATTTAAGCTCTGGTACAGTACAGTATAGTAAACTGTACATAAATACAGTGCACAGCAAGCCCTGAATACTGTAAGTCCTTAACTGTACTACAGAAAAGTGCAGTACAGTAAACTGTGTAGTATATATAAATAAACTTCACAGCTAATCTAAGCCCTGCATAAGGCGGTATAACCTTGCTAATGAAGCCTCTTCATGGCTTTATTATGATAATTAACTAACCATGAAACAAACATTTAGGAGTTTTGTTTCTTCACTACGGATACTAGTACAACCCTATCCTTGTACTATCCTTTACTTTATACCAGTACAACCCTATCTTTGTACTATCCTTTACTTTATGCCAGTACAACCCTATCCTTGTACTATCCTTTACTTTATACCAGTACAAACCTGTCCTTGTACTTTCCTTTACTTTATACCAGTACAAACCTATCCTTGTGCTATCCTTTACTTTATACCAATACAACCCTATCCTTGTCCTATCCTTTACTTTATACCAGTACAACCCTATCCTTGTACTATCCTTTACTTTATACTAGTACAACCCTATCCTTGTATTATC